GATAGATAGATAGATAGATAGATAGATAGATAGATAGATAGATAGATGTAAACATAAAAATGTCCCACACAGAGCTGTGTTCCTGACAGAACAGTGACCCCCAGAGGTGTTTGGCGATATTACCATTGGCCCACACAGCGTTCTCAATTGGATTCCCCAACTGTACATCAAACATTTGAAGAAAAACATAGTCTGTGATGAGCACATACAGACGTTTCCTCCTAAACAAGGCAGTATAGCAATTATTTTAGAGAGTTCACATTGTATCGTTTGTTGTAGGTGGAGGGGTAACTGAAGGTATGAAGGAAGATATACAGGCATTCTAGAAAATGCTATGCTACTTTAAATGAGGTTTTCATTCATCCCCAGAGGAACCCTGGAATCATCCTTTCCCTTCCATCCTGAGGGATAGCAGCTGTGCTTCCATTTTCAAGTGGAGAAACTGAGGCTCTGAGAGAGAGGTAGCTTGCTCAGGGTCATACGGAGCTGGGACTCGGACCCAGGCCATCAGTCTCCAGTCTGGACTCTGACATTTTCTAATAGCAGGCTGCTAAAGAGTCAGGGTTAGGCATCTGAGTGGAGTGAGGCCAGGGAAGGAATGGCCCCTGTTCTCCGCAGGCTGTGCCTGTCTGTGTGCATAGATGCAAATGTGTGGACGTACCTGTGCGTTTAACGGCCCGCCCCGTGTATGTGAGCTTTCCTCATGAATGCCCTGAGGGCCTGGCACCCCAGTTCCTTTAGCTCAGCCACCACCCACTTGGGCATCAGAGCCCAAGTGACATGGGGTCTTCTTGGTCCCCAGGAATGAAACCTTGCCCCATGGTCCTGGTCTTCGGGTGTCGACAATCCAAGATAGATCACATCTACAGAGAGGAGACCCTGCAGGCCAAAAACAAGGGCGTCTTCAGAGAGCTGTACACTGCCTACTCCCGGGAACCCGACAGGCCGAAGGTAACCCAGCCCAGCCCCGCACTGTGTGCGAGCATGGCTATGCTAGTGCATGTCACCTCTCTCTCTCTCTCCTTCTCTCTCTCTCTCTCCCCACCCAGGAAGAGGGGCTTGAGGAAGACTGTCTGGATTAGGATTTGGGTTAATCAAAGTGGGAGGTCTCACCCTGAATGGTCGTAGCACCATTTCGTGGGCGGGACTCTGGAGTGACTGACAGCCAGGACTGGGCTGAGTGCTGAGTTTCCTGCATCCATTCCTCTCTGCCCTTGACAGTGGATGTGACACACTGCTTCACCTTCCTGCCACTCATATCCCCATGATGGTGGACCAGATCTAAAAATAACCAACCCTCCCTCCCCTAAGTTGCTTTCATCAGGGTGTTTTCTCAAAACAGAAAGGAAACTAAGACACCTAACTTTTGAGTGTGTGTCCCCTCCCCCCAATCTGCTTTGTACCCAGAAGGTCTGGTGAGGACCGAGTCCCTTGAAAATATTTAACAGCTACATTATATGATCTTGCTATGTAGCCCAGGCTGGCCCATCCTTGTCTAGAATTTGTAATCTTCTTGCCTCTGCCTCCCAAATGCTGGGATTATAAGTGGATTGTATACTTTAATGTGGTACATTCTGTGCTGTGCATATTTAAAAAAAAAAAAAACTTTTAGAGCTAGAGAGATGGCTCAGAGGTTAAGAGCACTGTCTGCTCTTCCAAAGGTCCTGAGTTCAATTCCCAGCAATCACATGGTGGCTCACAACCATCTATAATGAGATCTGATGTCCTCTTCTAGCCTTCAGGCATGCAAGTGGACAGAACACTGTATACATAACAAATAAATAAATCTTTAAAAAAAAAACTTTTAGAGCTAGAGAGATGGCTCAGAGGTTAAGAGCACTGTCTGCTCTTCCAAAGGTCCTGAGTTCAATTCCCAGCAATCACATGGTGGCTCACAACCATCTATAATGAGATCTGATGTCCTCTTCTCGCCTTCAGGCATGCAAGTGGACAGAACACTGTATACATAACAAATAAATAAATCTTTAAAAAAAAAAACTTTTAAATAGAGCCTAGCTGAGCATGGTAACCCACACCTATAATCCCAGCACTCAAAAAGTTAAAGCAGAATAAGTGTGAGCTAAACCATTAATACCAGTTTCAAAGAAGATTAATTAATAAGTTAAAGTTAAAAGAGAAGCTCAAAATATATTCATTTTACAACCCATGAGAGACAGCACCAGTCTGAATAAACAGGGACCGGGGACCACGCTAGGACCTATGGCATGAGGAGAAGGGGCAGTCAGAGGATGTAGACCGTGGCTCTTTGGTGACTGGTCATCAAGCAGCATCTACTGACTGAACGCCAGCCTCACACAGGAGGAGTTTCTGGGCCATTAAACAAGTTCCGCAGTGGAGTACCTCTGTGCCCAGGGCGAGCTTCTAGCCTGCCCCTCGTTTCTACCATGATGTAATAGCCAACTTATTGGGGAGCTAAGGGGGGGGAATAGAGACTGGCAGCTTCTTACCATGCCCCATCCCTGGCTTTTTGCCCTGCGTATTCTCTGAGTCAATAGTGACCACCACCCCATGGGGAAAGGAGCTGCTAGCTAAGGCCCTTTTGTTTCAGTCACTTGTCTCATGGCTGTGACACAAAGACTTGGCAAAAGCAACTTAAATCAGGAAGGTTTTATTTGGACTCATTGTTGGGGAACACAACAACATTATGAGTTAGGGTTAGGGTTAGGGTTAGTTAGGGTTAGTCTAAAGTTCACTGTGGCGCAGAGGGCATGGCGGGAGGAAGCTGAACCAGATGGACACATTTACGACTGCAGTCCGAGGGCAGAGAGGGGTGGATGCTGGTACTCAGCTTGCTGTCTCTATTCAGATGAGAACCCCAGCCTTTGAAATAGTGCCATCCATATACAGGGTGGGTGGCTTTACCACCCTCATTAACCCAGTCTAGAGACTCCCTCGCAGACACACCCCAAGGTCTGTCTTCTAGGCGACTCTGGGTTTCATCAGGTTGACAGTCAAGTTGAACCACACATGCTGGGCTGGTCCTCCCAGAGATGGTCTAGGGAGCACGGCCTTGGCTCCCCAGGGGGTCGTCAGGAGCCAAGCTCCAGATGCCTGAGGCCGGATTCAGCTTAGTCACACACTGCAGTTTGCTCTCCTGTTTTAATCTTTCTGGTCCCTCATCCCATTCCCCTGAGGTTCACAAGCTATCTCCTTACCCATGAGCCCCGGCATCACATTCTGCTTCCTGGGGGGGGGGGGGGTAGCACCGGAGTCTTTCATAGCGGCCCCTTCTCACCATCCTCTTCTGCAGAAATACGTCCAGGATGTGCTGCAGGAGCAGCTGGCCGAGTCTGTGTACCGTGCCCTGAAGGAGCAAGGAGGCCACATCTACGTCTGTGGGGATGTTACCATGGCCGCTGACGTCCTCAAAGCTATCCAGCGCATAATGACCCAGCAGGGGAAACTATCCGAGGAGGATGCTGGTGTGTTCATCAGCAGACTGAGGGTGAGTGACAGCTGGCAGCCAGGGTCCAGAAGTTTTCCCCTCAGCCAAGCGGTGCCATAATTCAGGGGGCGCTTTCTGCCCTTACGATCTAGACACAGTTAAGGGAGAAGATGGACATCCAGTGTACAGGTACACACAGTCAGTACAGTTATAGGTTCTAGTATAGGAACATGACAAGTGGGTGGGCCTGTGGGGAGGGGTACAGGTGCAGTCCTGACTCGACGCTTCCTGAACCCCGAGCCAGGCTGCCCCTCAGCCCTGTTCGATTGGTTGTATGTGGTTGGAACTGCACAAAAAGGCTCATCCGCCAAGTGGTGGCGCCCGCCCTTGATCCCAGCACTCTGGAGGCAGAGGCAGGTGGATCTCTGTGAGTTCCAGGCCAGCCTGGTCTACAGAGTTGAGTTTCAGGACAGCCAGGGCTACACAGAGAAAGCCTGTCTTGAAACAAACAAACAAACAAACAAGGCTCATCCAAAGAGGGCAGGCGGGTACCAGGAATCACTATGCTTGATCTCTAAACCAGGTCCCTGACATGGAGAGTGACTGCCCTAAAGGAAGGCCCCTTTCTTAATGTGAGGCTGTGACAGTTCCCCCAGTGCGGACCCAACTATGTGACCGATCGCCCTCCCCAGGGGAAGCTGAATCCCAGAGGCAGCCCCATCCACTACCACTTTCCTAAATGAGCAACAATCAAAACGTTTGCTGGAGGAAAGACATGAATATGTGCACATGTGGTTTGTAGCGGGAGAGGGACGTGAATATGTGCACGCACAGTGCACACGTGGAGGTCAGAGGGCACCTTGCAGGGTGTTCTTTTCTATCACGTGGGTCTTAGGGATCCAACTCCTATCATCAGGCTTGGTGGCATGTGCCTTTATCTGCTGAGCCATTTCACTGGCCCCAATCAGTAACCAAACATTTTTCTAGAAGCTCTTCTCTGAGCCTGATTCTCAACCCCAGTGAGGGGAAAAAAAGAGATTTCTGCTAGAAATTGGCCAGGGGCTGTGGAGAGAGCCCAGCAGGTAAAGTGCTTGCTGTACAAGCATGAAGACCTGAGTTCAAATCCTCAGCACTTACACAAATTCCAGATGGGCATGACAGCCTGCCTGTGCTCCCAGCACATGTGGAAGGCAGGGAACTTCCACCGGAAGCTGGCTGGTGAGACTCCTGAAGCAGTGAGAGACCCTGCCTCAAAGCCTAAAACAGTGATCGAGGAAACAGCCAGTATCATCCTCTGGCCTCCATAGGCATGGAATGTACCCACGTGGATACAAACACATTCATGCACAAGAGGGAAGGAAAAAGGCATGCTGCAAAGGAGGGATGCTGCGGGGCCTGCCACTCCCTTGGTGTCTTTGTCGCAGTCCCCTGGGAACACTTGTATAGCTTCCCAGGATCTTTGCAGAATAGGGCAGAGCAACCTCCCCCACTGGAAATGAACCGCTGTCTCCAGATGCAGAATTTGCTGTGGGAGCAGGGTGCTAGAACTGAGTGCATCATGGGCCTGGCTTCAGGGTCAAGGTACTAGAACTGAGTACACCATGAGCCCTGCCAACCAAGCCACACTCCTGGCTACTGCCCTCATCACCATTGAGATGAATCTCTCCTCTCCACCACAAAAATAAAAAGTCACTCTTAAAGAATATTCTTCTTAACTGACCAACCCCCCCCCCACTTCCGCCAAGGGGACTTTCATCACTTCTGACTCTGCTCCCTCCCGCAACCCTGCTTTCTTCCTCCCATGCTGGAGACAAAAACCCAGCGTCTTGTGCATGCCAAGGAAATGCTGTAGCATTAAGCTACATCCCCAGTCCCACAGCCACATTCCTGTTCCTTTCCTATCTGCTGGTACCAGTCAGCTGGCGTGTTTCATATTTAATTCAGCTTTGCTGGGATCTGAACTCTCAGGAGAAAGAGAGAATTAGAGGCTTCCTTCAGGCCTCGCTGCTTCTTCCTCCAGGGGGCCATCCTTTTTCCCAAATACTCACCCCACAGGTCCTTTGCCACCCAGCCTTCTAAGAAGCACAAAAGGGCTGAGCACTGCTAACACACAGCCTTAGAGACAAAAGGTACCGCAGGGCCTTCAGCCCAACCTTTGTCTTTCTGGGTAGATGTCATTCCATGTATCACTCTGTCCATCCCTCTCCAAGCCCTTACCTGCCATTTGATCCATCCCCTGGCTGTGTGTCTGCAGGATGACAACCGGTACCATGAAGACATCTTTGGAGTCACCCTGAGAACATATGAAGTGACCAACCGCCTTAGATCTGAGTCCATTGCCTTCATTGAAGAGAGCAAAAAAGACACAGATGAGTAGGTCATGTCCTGGCCTGGGGAAAGGGGCTGAGCAGGGGTGGGGGTGCTGGTCTTCCCCAGACCAAAATGCATGGCTTTGATTCCGCTGCCCCCTGGATAGAGGGTTGCCCATTTGAGGCCAACTTGAGCTATACATGGAGACCTCTCCACAAAAAAGCAAAAGAAAGGGGTGCACATTCCCAGATGGCCCCCCAGTCCTGCTGAGTCTGGCATTCAGAACTTAGGGCTCAGTGGTTAGCAAGCCCTCTGGGGACTCCAAGAATACAGACGTAGCAGTGCCTGCTCTACATGCTGACACCTGTATAGCTGCTGGCTCCCCCTAGTGGAACGATGGTTCCTTCACCAACTAATGTGGGTGTTGATGAGCCGCCACTACCACCACCACCTCCACCCTGCCCCAGAAGTCACTGGGGACATTCTCATAGATACAAATTAAAACAGACAGGATCCTGACGATTTCACTCAGCCTCTTGAAGTTGTTGGAAACAGCCATAAGAGTGGTATGGAGTCTCATTATTTAAACCTTCCCTCCCAGGGTGCAGCAAGAGGACCAGTGTGCCGAAGCCCAGCCCCGTCCTCATCCCCTGCCCTCTGCTGCTGGCACTACTTTTTAACTCTATCTTATTTATGTTTCTTATGCCCCTTTCTCCCTACTCCTCCCCAGTCCCTTCCAACACCCCAAAACCTGGCAGTAGAGAAAGAAGGTTAGTGGGGGGAGGTTATGTGGTTCTTTTAGCTACTTCCTGCTGGTTAGGCTCACAGGGTTCCTTGGGGCAAGTCCAATCCTCATTTCAGGAGATCTCCAACTTCTTTCATCATACTGCAACCAGCAACAGCAAGGGGGGAGCACTAGTAGCCCTCTTCTTCCTTAGCGCCCCCTTTCTCTCTCTGGGCCCTGGCATTTACCCCCTCTCCAGAGGCAAACTGGCAGAGAGCCCCTCTCAGAGATTGCACGAGGCAAATCTGCTGCTGTGGACCATCTGTGTCCCATATCCCACACCTGGGCTTAGAACAAAAACATGTTTCCATATCATAAACCAAAACCTCCACAACACTCTACCCTTCCCCTTAACCCCAACTGTCTCTTTCCCGGCCAGAGTAGCTCCATCTCCTGAGCCTTCTAACTGCTTCTCCTTCAGACAGCCCAGCCTTCTCCAAACACTGTCTGTCCACACAGCTTATACTATTATTACATGTGCACACATACGTGTGCGTGTAATTATACCCACGTGCAGGTGCCGGCAGGGTTAGAGGCAATTGTGAACTGCCCCACATGGGTGCTGGGAACCAAACTCAGGTTCTCTGGAAGAGCAGGGAGCACTTTTAACCATTGGGACATCTCTCCTGTCTCTTCTGCTCTGTTGTTTGTCTGGGATTTTCTTTTCGAAACAGAGTCTGTAGAGCCCAGGCTGGTCTGAACTTGCTCTCCTCCTGCTTCGGTCTCCCAACTGCTAAGAGTTCAGGTTCACCCCACTGTCACACCCAGATCACCCCAAGAACGCTAAGGAGCCTGGCTTCCATGACACTAATGCCCTCCCCCTCTGATCCAACAGGGTTTTCAGCTCCTAACTGGATCCTCCTGCCCCATAGGACGGCGGGGTGGCCGCCCCAAATGCCCAAGCGAGGGCGGCCGCAGGTTGACTAAACGCGGACACACATGGCTGAACCTTCCCCACGGGACCCCGAGCGGCCCCACCCTGCCTCTTGTCCTGTTGCTGTGTCCTGGTCCTTCCCCTCCCTCCGGGCTTTCTCTCCCCCATCCTGGGTTTTCTCCTTGACTCTTCAGCTGTGATGCATCTCCCTCGAACCCTGCAGTGGCTCTTACAAAACCGCGTCCTCCCTACCCAGTTGGCTGCCAAGGGCAGGTTGCGGCGCATCCAACTACTGGGTCACTGCTGTCACTCCTGCTGGGGTCTGAAGGTAGCTGGCACTGGGGCTTCAGATCACCCTGAGCCAGCTCCTTGGACACCTCAACCCCCTTCCATCCGTTTCTATGGTGGGGTATGTATGTGTGTGCGTGTGACGGGCCTACGTCATTCTCTGTCCTCTTGCCTGCACATGCGTGCTGACGTTACATACAAGTCCACTGCCTTCAAGAAGGACGTTCAGTGCCATGAAACATGTTCCTAGCTGCTGTTAATCCCTCCCACATCCACCATGACAGGCTTGCGTCAGCCTCCCTGAAACACATTAAGTCCCATTACTAATCTAAGTGAACCAATCACAGGAGGTAGGCATGGGGTGAGAGAGAGGTATTTCTTTGAAGGAGCCGATCCCAGGATCTGAGCTGTTCAGAGTCTCACCGTGTCAGCAGAGGTCTGTCCGGGGAAGTTACTCAGACAGTGGATGGGGCAAGCCCCTCCCCACTCCCACCAGCCCTATCTTGGGCCATGAGATGTTAGGCATCTCCCATAGGCAACCCCAGCCATTGGCCCAGCAGCCATGCTGTGCAGTGAAGCATGCTGGGAGTTGGGACTTTGCTATTAAGAGTGTTTGGGTAATTCTTTCTAAGTTTGTTCTTATTAAATGAACGAATGGGCCTTCTTTAGTGGTTTGGAGCCTTAGGAAATGTCAAGGAAGAATAGGATATAACTGTTTTTTTATTTCTCCAAATGGGCTTGCCTCCTGCTTGAAAATAACTTCCTTCCCCCAAAATGAGGAGCATGGGCAACAGTGAGAATTTTAGCCATGACAAGTTGTCCCTCAGAGGCAACCATCTTCTGAGTCAGCAGAGTGGTCCCTTATCTGAATAAATGCATAAACAAACAAACAAAAGCTACACCAGACAGTATGGACAGTCAGGAAATCCCCATGGACCCCAGGCTCAAGAAATTGGCTCTGGGTCCCATGTTCTGTGCTCCTGTTTGGTTTAGTGAGACAGAAAAACAAAAAAACATTTCCTCTATGACCTGAGCTGGTGTCTGGCCCTCCTGATGCTAAGTATGGAGGCTATCAAACAGAAAGTGCTAAGGGCTTTACAGCTGCAGGTCCAAACCCTAAGGGCTTTAATCCCACCCACTTTCTCTCTCTCTCTCTCTCTCTCTCTCTCTCTCTCTCTCTCTCCCTCTCCCCTTTTCTTCATCCTTCCTTTCTTTCCTTTCTTTTTTTCCAGACAAGGTCTCCTGTTGCCCAGGCTGGCTTTGAACTCACGACCTTGAATTCCTAATACTCCTGCCTCTACTTCCCTTGTACTAAAAGTACAAGTGTGCACAACCACATCCAGTTTATGCTTTGCCAGAGGGTCAAACCCAGGACCTCCTGCATGCTAGGTGAACACTCTACCAACTGAGCTACACCCTCCAGCCTTTAATCCCCACCCCCAAGTTCAGAGACAGGTTTCATGTACCACTGGACACTGCCACCATGTCCCATCACTAGCTTTGCCCCATTTATAATCTCACCTGCCCTTCTTTACCAACTGGTCTTCCATGACAGCAGAGACTAAGCCCCCAGTGCCCTAGAGCCACCTTCTATAGCCTGGAGGCAAGGCAGTGACCTTGGAAGGATGCTACCATCCTCCCAACACAGTTCCCACCACTTTCTCCCAAGAGACTGACTTCTCAACCCTTCAAGCCTCTGGGGACACTTCTTGAGATGTAGCTGATTCCCCAGATCTGAACTTCTGTGTCCAACCTGCACGGAAGAACCATCTCTCTCCGCACGCCAAGCTGCATGCATGCATGCACGGGTGATTTCTGCACCTCTGAATAAGGAGTGCTTACTCTGTGACAGGCTCTTCCCTACCCCCATCCCCACATATCCGGGTGCTTCCAGTAGCAGGTAGGGCAGATGGAAGCCTCCTATCACTTGCCAGAGAGTCCAAAGATAGGATTACATAACCAGGCTCAAGAGAGACCTTTGTTTTTCAGTGCTGGGGATGGACCAAGGACCTCACACATGTCAGGCTGAGCTATGTCCTCAACCCCCAAGAGAGAATGGTTGATTTCAAAAGAGCTTTGAACTCTTAATGCAGGCAGCTTCCTTAGCCCCTGGCTAGAAGGCCGGAGATCAGGTCGGATGCCTATCTCTCCTTTCCAAAAAGCCTTAAGTAGTTTATCCAAAGGCGAAGCAAGATGGGCATCCAGGGTGGGTCAACACTGCCCTCTGCTGATGGATTTTTTAGTTCAGGCCCACAGGTGGCAATAGGTGCAAAGTGTGGCTTAGAATAAGAGAGCAGAGTGGGTGAGCATTTTCAGAGGCCCAGTTTGTAGCTGGTTTGTTTACCTCACCTTCTATGTCGCCAATACTCCAGCCCCATTTCACAAGAGTGGGTTTGGCCAAGAGGAACCGGTGATCCCTCAAAACAGAAGGGCTGGAGACTTATGCTCCCTGCCAGTCCTAATTTCAGCCCGTGGGAGGGAAGAGGGCTTCCCTGCATGTCTTTGAAGCATGTCCTTGGAGAAGAAAGCAGTTGATTCTCTTTGGTGAGGGGGTGGGGGACGGAATACTTAGATCCTCCTATGAAGCTTTGCAAGCAGACCTGCTCACAGGTGCCATTGCTGCCTCGTTTACATAGAAGGCCTGGTTCCTTGACAATTCTGAGAATCCAGATTTTGTCTGAGCAAGAAGACAATGCTACATGACAGTACCAGCCCAGTCTCTGATGAGCTTCCATCTTCCCCTTTCCTTAAACCACGCTCAACTTCCACAGCTGGTGGACAGCACCATTCCGACATCAAGATCGTGGCCGTCACTAGCTTGAACAAGGAGAGGGGCAGGCAAAGTCACAGATTCTTAGGCTAAGTCAGCGAGACCTGGTACCTATTATAGAGAGTGAGGACAGAGAGAGTAGAGAGAGTCTGGTCTTCCAGGGGACAAAGAAGTCAAGCCTCAGTTCAAAGGAAGAAAGCTGAATGGCCAGAAAACACAGGCCCAAGGGTGTGGATTTCCTAGACAAAGACTCCTGCTTCGGGAAGCAAGAATTGAGGTTTTGTTCTAGCCCAAGGCAAAATGGACAGGTTCTGACCCTAATGTCTGAGCCCCCCCCCATTCCTGCAGCCTCTCTCTTCCTCTCTTTCTCCCTCTCCCTTTCTCTCTCTCTCCCCCCTCTCTCTCTCTCTCTCTCTCTCTCTCACACACACACACACGCACACACAGCCTTTCACTGTGCCCTAGGAAAATTGTGAGCTTCCAGACTGAGTTCAGCCAAGGTTTACTTTTATTTTCCTTCCAACTCGGCCTCTGACTCCTCAGAACCCAGTGCAGACAGCCGTCATTTGCAGGGTTTCGGCCTTGAGGGGTCCAGGCCAGCCTGCCTTTTTTTTCTTTTTCTCATTCACTGCTAGACTCCACCTAGAGGGAAAGGCACCTAAGAGATTAGGTTGACCAAGCTGTGTCTCAGATGTGAAGACCCAGGGACCCCTAAGGAATCTGTTTCCTATCAGGAGTTGGATATTTTAATTCCCAATGCCAAATGCTCCAAAATCTAAAATGCTTTGAGAACCAACAAGATACCACAAACTTTAGCTCCTCTACAGAAGTATTTAAAAGAATGCATAGACAGGGCATAAAGCTCAAGGGTACAGCTTGCCAATCACACCGAGTCTTGGAGTCCCACCCAGCACCGTAAATAAATCACCTCAGGCTATGTATGTCGGATGTATATGTGAAACATAAATGAATGTCATGTTTAGAGGTGGCTCCCATCTGCCAACTACCCCCTCATGAATATGCAGATATTGCAAAATTAAAAAAAAAAAAAAAAAACTTGTCACAAGTGTTACATTGAAGTATAGCCAACCCATCACAGGCAGCGGAGATGCTGGGGTGAACGTGCTTCAGCTGTGAGTATGAGTTTGTTTGGTTCTGAGCAGTTCTGGATAACTGAGCATCTCTTACCCAAGGCACTCGGTTTCTAATGAGGTGTCCCTGGAAGGCAAAAGCAAGGATGACATCAGAAACTAACTGAGAACCTCTGTCCTCCTGGAATGGGTCAGGACCTGGAAGTGACCAGGTTTGGTCACGACCTCTAGAGATTCTAGTCAGGAGCCCACTAACCTTGCCTGGGCTGACACCTGTTTAGGTCTGGATGAGTCCTCATTGCACGGCTGTCTTAGGAGTTACAGGATGCTGACGAGTACCATCTGTGACCTTTCCTACCAAATGCCACTGGCAACCTCTGTAACAGCTACAAAGGTCACCACAAAGTACTGAGGGCCGGCTGGAAAAGCAAGCAGGACCTTCAGCTATTGGACCAAGAAACCATTGCTTTTGGGTCTCCGGGGTTATGGAACCCCAATGCTGTGAGCCTTCTGGTTACAGATGTGCAGGAGGTCAGCATAGCCTGTCACGGTTCTATGGTTGACTTTCTTCTTACCTGCTTCAAACTTGATACCCAAAAGCTTTGTGGAGGCTGGCATAGCAAGCTCCCAAGCCAGAGGGTGGCTGTTTTTTTTGTTTTGTTTAAGATGGATGAACCAAGGTACCATCTCTCGAGCTGGGTCTGAGGCTGTCCCCTCTCCCCATCCCTCATCCCCATCTGTGCCCCTAGCTCTGTCTCTCCACTTCCATTGCTGTGTTGTCCTTGTGACTGTATGACCCATTCCAAGCTCGGCAATTGCTTGCCTTGCTTGTCAGAAGTCCCAGGTCCCACTTGGGATCAGATTACACCCAGAGGTGTCCACTGTGGGGTTTTAGGAGTTACAGGATGTTCCCTGGGGAGAATGTGCGGGGCCCGGGTTCCATCTCACCACACACAAGCTGTCAGAAACTTGGATGCCCCCCCCCACCTCTGACATCTCTCTGCTGCTAATCTCTGCCAGTGTCCCGTGTGCTCCAGCACCGCCACCTGCCCACACGCCCTCCGTGAGGTTGTCCAGGCTGTGCTCTCGCATGCTTCTCTTCTATATAATCCTCATCTTCTCATTTTATGGGATTCAACACAAAGTCTACTTATGCTTGTTTGAATTATGGTTAAACTATTAAAAAGAAAAAAAAAAAGTGGACTGACTCGGCGGGCTGGTGTGTTTTTTTTTTTTTTACCGGGTTGGAATGTCACACTTCCCCCCACCACAGTCATGGCTTGGGTATGCCGAAAGCACGAGTTGGTACTAGAGGAAGCTGAGATGGGTGTACTGTTGGAAAGATGCAATCTCTCAGGTGTCCTGACTTGGGCCAGAAGACTCGGTTTTATCCATTGGTCCCTCTTGGGCCATTGAACTCTTTATCCCGATGACCACTGAGGATACTCCTCGATGCTGGCAGGGTTGGGGGAGGGACTAGGTCTCCATTCCCCATGTAGACTCACTCTACAATACCCCTCCTCCCCATAACAACCACATCCATTAGAGGGCCCCCAGAGAGGCAGCACCATGACTCAGTCCTTCCTTCCACGTTGCAGCCCTGAAGACCCCAGAGCTCAAATCTAGCTGGTTTCAGGCCCAGCTCCACAAGAAAGAGACATCGGAAGCCCCTGCAAGGAGGCTCAGTGGTTAGGAGCACTGGCTGCTCTTATAGAGGACTCAGGTTCAGTTCCCAGCACCCACATACATGGCGGCGCATAGCCACCTGCACCTCCAGATCCAGGGTATTTAACGCCCTCTTCTCATCTCCACAGGCACCAGGCATGCACCAGGACACTGACATATGCAGGCAAAACACTCGTGTGCATTTTTTTTTTAATGCAAAGCCAGCTGATGGAGAGGCATGCAGCTTAGATGGCCAGATGGGTTGGCACTGTAAGTGGATGGATGGGTGAGACGGGGCAGAGGGATGTGTCTTCCCATGTGCTTCTCCACACAGTCCGGAGGGCAGTCCCACTAATTTCCTGGGCTCAGCAGCACAAAGTGACATAGATCTGTAGGTAAAGTGCTTGCTAAATCTGATGCTCAATCCCTGGGCCTCACAAGATGGAAGGAGAGAACTGTTTCCTGCAAGTTGTCCTCTGACCTCCACACGCATGCTATAGCATGTGCATGAGCACTGCCCCCCCCCCCACGCACACACACATGCAATTCTTAACTTCTCAGCCCTGACCCTGAGCCTCACATTCAAGATCCAGTGCATGAGTGAAGGTCAGCTATGCAGCAGGAAACAGGCAAGGCCACTCATGCCCTACTCCTTGCTGGCCTACAAAATGTATTAGCCAATTAACACAGTCGCTAGCAGTGATGAAAAGCTGATCTTCACAGGGTACTTTGGCATGTCGCCTACAATCGAGTGTCACTTAGGGACAGGACACATCCTGAAAAATTCAGGCTAAATGGCCAGACCTGTCAGTACATGAGGTGTGTGACTATTCACTCTCCAATTCAAAGCTTGGGAAACTGAGGCATAGGAGACCAGGCAGCTTGTACAATGTCAAGCCCTAGTAAATGACACAGGTGGGGCTAGAATCAGCCTGTCCAGCCTCAGGACCTGCACTCTAATCCACCATGTTGGTTATTTGCTGAGACACCCGATCTTGGTTCAAATCCCAGCTCCTCCACTTCCTAACTGTAACTTTGGGTAAGTTTCTCACCTTCTCTGTGTCTTCATTCCTTCACCATATAATAGGCTGGTTTGTTGTAATTTGTTGGATCGTGATAGGACTAAATGAGTTCACACATGTGCGATACATGAGGTGGGATGGGGCCAGGTGGGTATGGATACAGGATGGGCTGGGATGGGCTGGGCTGGGATGGGCTGGGATGGGATGGGATGGGATGGGATGGGATGGGATGGGATGGGATGAGATGGGATGGGTCCGACAGGAAAATAAATAAGCCTGGATTCTGCCTCTTGCAGTTTCCTCAGTTTATTTCCCTTTATGATGCTTAGCACTGAATTTCATTTATTTATTTATTTATTTATTTATTTATTTATTTATTTATTTATTTATTTATTTAGGCTTCTCAGGCCCCTGTGTAAAGAGTCAATTCCTGAAAGCTCCCTCACCCGCCCAGTAGCGCCAGCTCTGGATCTGGCCTCCACATCTGCATATTTAGCCAGCTTCCCACCTGACCCCTACTCAGGCTGGAGTTCTGACGGGTCCAGCCTGAGAGTTAGCCAGGGACGACTTAACATTACATGCCTCCCAACTGTATAGCTCCTGTTGCCTAGCAACCAGGTGAGCCTTTTAAATTGACAGCAAAACAGAACCTTCACAAGCACAAATCTAAGGAGGAAAAGGTGGCAAAGTCATATGGTGTGTGACAGGGAGGAAGAACAAGAATAGTGTTAAGTCGCTGGAGAACAGTCTAGAGCAGTGGTGCTCAACATGTGGGTCACAACCGCTTTTGTGGGGCTCACATATCGGATGTTTTACATTACCGTCCATAACACTAGCAAGACGACAGTCATAAAGTAACAGTGAAAATAATTTTATGGTTGGGGATGACCACAACATGAGGAACTGTAGTAAAGGGTCTCAGCATTAGGAAGGTTGAAGACCACTGCTCTAGAATATGGGCTTCCCTGGCGTGGTGAGATGCCTCAGTGGGTAAAGGTGCTTGCCGCCAAACCTAACGATGCAAGTTCGGTTCCTGGAACCCACCTGAAGAAGAGAGCTGACTGCACAGAGTTGTCCTCAGGCCGCCACACATGTATCATGTCATGGACACACACATGGGCTTCCCGTTCATGTAGTAAAAAATATGCTTATAACCAGGTGTATCAGGACATGTCCAAAATCCCAGCAACTTGGGGGGTGGAGGCAGGAGGATCAGATTTTCAAGGTCAGCCTTTGCTACGTTAAAATTTAGAGTCCACCTGAAATATATGAGACCCTGTCTCAAAAAGAAGAAAAATGGGTGAGCGGTGACACCAGCTTTTAATCCCAGCTCTCGGGAGGCAGAGGCAGGTCAATCTCTTGAGTTCTTCAAGGCCAGCCTGGTCCAGGACAGCCAAGACTACACAAAGAAACAAACAAACAAAACAAACAAACAAAAGATAAAATGCTTTTGTTCCCCTTCACTTACCTTTTGCAAATTACCAAAATGGTAGAAACCAAGGAACAGGAGTGAGAAGCTGGCTCCGTGGCTAGAGCATTGGCTGTGCAACCTTGAAGACCTGAATTCCCATCCTAACACTCATGAAACAAGCCAGGTGTGCTGTCCTATAAATCAAGTGCTGTGGGGACAAGAGACAGGAGGATGGGGGCTTGCTGCCACCAAGCTCTCTGAAACATGAGAGTTCCAGGTTCAGTAGAGACACTGCCTCAGAGAAGTTTATTATATTTATATTATATTATATTATATTATATTATATTATATTATATTATATTATGTTATATTATTCTATTCATCTGTCCTCAGAACACACAGGCACGTCCAACCACATACACAGGTGTGCATACAGCACACACACACACACATTTATAATATTTATATTATATTAATAATAGGTTTGAACCATATAATATCTGTCCTGTGACTTGAGACTCACTGTCTCAACCCTCCTCAACTTGCTGTATGCAAGATTTGAAGACCTCCAAAGGTGACACTGTCCTCGTCCTCCTCCTCCTGCTCCTCCTTTTCCTCTGCCTGCCCAACACAGGATTGTCACAAGCTAAAACAGCTGTCAGTTGGGAGAAAGCCTCAGAGATGAATCAGCAGTAGCGGAAGTGTGTGTTAAATGCTGCAGCGTGTGAAGCGAGTTTGGTTTGGAAAGTTTGGAAGAGACACTCATGGAAATGGAGTCTCAGCAGCAAATTCAGGTGCAAGGTCTATGGAGGAGCAGCCTGCCTTTGTGCCTCTAACCCTAATGGCATCCTGTTCCTCTAAAAGCACCCACCGCCCCCAGGTTTCCCCTTGTGGAAAGATCTCTTTCATACCTACCATCTGTGGTGCTTTTGGGCAAAGGCACTCAGTGCCACCAGGAACCAGGGAGCGTAAGCCAACCCCTCTGCCCAGCGTGCAGAGTGCACACTTCGTTTGCTGGCACCTTGAACCCCTCCTTTTCCTCCCCAGCTCCATCAAAACCTTCTCTGCTGGACTCATCCTCCCCAAGGGCTTTAAGGCCACCACTACCTCCTCCCAACCCCGCTCCCTTCCCCTCCACCCATTTCCTAACAGAGCGTCTCATGGCCTCCGCCATCTTTGTGCTGCCTGCATTTAGGGTGGGTCTCTACATCTCAATAAATGTAATCTAGTTAACCCCCCCCCATATATGCCCAGAGGTGTGTTTCCATGGTGACTTGAAATCCCATCAGATCTGAGATTAACCCTTCACTCCCTCTTAGTGGCTGTCCCCATCATCCTCACTATCAGTCCCAGCCACTTGGCAGCACTCTGTCTGTACAATATATTAACATGGCTTCTCTGCCTTTGGGTATCAGCTACCTCTCTCTGAAATGCTAAGTAACAAACAGCCCTAAACCTCCTCCTTGGCTGCCACACCTTTGCAGCAAAGGTTGGAGGGTGAGGTTCCAAGCCCAGTGTTGTGCAGGACTAACCTCCAAGCTGAATTGCCAAACTGCCACTACACAGCTGGGCTCCTTAACTCCTGACATCCCCTCACACAAGGAGGGGATGGGGAGAGTCATGAGACCCTCACCTGAGTACCCAGCCAGCACCCCCCACCCCCCCCAAACCAATTGTAGACAATTCTGCCCTACTTAGAAGCAGTATAAATCTGGGGAGGTGCTGGAGCATTCAGGTAGAGAATGAGGGTGGGAGGTTAGGGGTTCCATCTCTGCAGCCATAATGCCATCTTTGTCCGCACTGGATGCCAGGTGCCTGCTTCAAGGCCACCCTCACTCTTGCCTGTAACTCTTGCGCTGCTCTCTAAGTCAGCCCCAAACCCCCTGGCTCTCCAACGGAGTACCACTTGGGTTTGTCATTCGGACCCTGGGAGAAGAGGCAGGTGTTGCTTGGTTCCCCAGCTGTGGAGAGAAAATTCTCATGACACGCAGGGCTCTTGTCCCAACATCCCGGAAGGAGCACGGCTTATCAGTATCCATATGACTCACTAAGGACTTCTGGCTTCCAGAGCTAGATAATCACTTTGTGGGGATTTTTGTTTGCT